TCTGTATTTAACCCACTGGAAACTACAGCGAGTACGGAAGAAGCCTTAAGAATTCTTCCCACTGTTCCAATGGAAACACTCGAAATAGCTAGGGAAGGCGTATTTCAACAACTACTCAAATTAGACACGAAAAAATCGAGCGGTCCCGACGGTATACCAACTGTATTCCTCAAGCGATATGCAGAATGGATGTCGCATTATCTGACTATCATCTTTCAAAAAACATATACAATGCACTCACTGCCACAAGATTGGCGCACCGCATTCGTCATTCCTGTATTTAAAGGAGGCAACCGAAAACAGGCTACAAATTACCGTCCAGTGTCACTTACTTCAGTTACCTGCAAACTGTTCGAACATATAATAGCAAAACATATACTCAGGTTCCTAGATCAGAACACTTTGCTGTATCCTTATCAACATGGCTTCAGGACCGGGTTATCAACCGTGACACAGTTAATAGAAACAATCCATGATTTTGCGGCTGCTGTAGATATAAGACAACAGGTTGATGTGGTTTGCGTGGATTTTGCGAAGGCGTTCGATAAAGTACCCCATGTCCAATTAATCTTCAAATTACGTAATGCAGGAATAAATGAGCTCGTAATAAAATGGATTGAAGCATATTTAACAAACCGTACGCAGGTAGTAAAACTGGATGGCCATGTATCAGATCCTTTAGCTGTACTTTCAGGGGTGCCCCAAGGCTCAGTATTGGGACCACTATTGTTTCTCCTCTATATCAATGACATCAGTAGTGTGGCGGCAGAAGAGGGTGTCCAGGTTAAACTTTTTGCAGACGACTGCCTAATCTACGCCACAATTACCAAGTTAGATGACCAATTGAAAGTTCAGAATTGTTTGAAAAAGTTAGATAATTGGTGTAGGAAATGGAAAATGTCAATAAATTATTCTAAATCTACATATACACACATCAGTAAAAGGAAAACTATCCATTCCTTTCCGTACAGCATTGGTGGACACTTGTTGGTGCATGCGCAACAGTTCAAGTATCTCGGGGTAACAATTACGCGAAAATTGTCATGGACTGAACATATAGATAACGTTTGCACGATAGCCTATCAAAAGTTGTACATATTGAGGAAAAAACTGGAACATGCATCGCGTGACGTAAAACATATTGCATACACCACCTTCATTAGGACGATACTAGAATACTCAGCCGTTGTTTGGAGTCCCCATCAAGCGACCCTTAAGAAGAAGCTGGAAAGAATACAAAGACTGGCGGCGCGTTTTATTTGTTCAACATACCGAAGAAAGGAATCGGTCACGCTGATGTTACAGAGATGCAACTTAGATACTCTTGAACTGCGGAGAAAAAAATATAGGCTGAAGGTATTCTTCCAAATAATTCACGCTCAACTTAAGATTGATAAGTTCAAATATTTACACCCCCCAGGCAAAATAAATCCCCGAACTAACCACGATTGCGTCATAAAACCATACCAAACAAATACTGACATGTTTCGATATTCTTTCTTCCCGGATGTCGTAGAAATGTGGAACAAACTACCAAACGCAATTGTTGTTTTAAACAATGTCACCGACTTCGAAAATGCTGTAGAGGCACACTTACGAGATTATTGAGTTTGATGTAAGCGACCTCATGTCCATTATTTTGGAATATGTCAGTGAATTTTGAATTGTTATTTTGAATTCTGAATTGTTATTAATGAAATACCTGTTTCATTGTGAAGTGCCGAGTGTTACGCAACTTTATGTACCTTGTACATTTTTTATGTATGTAATTGTATTGTCCTCTCTGTTATGACCCTCTTGGAGGGTTGACAGTATTATTATTAAATAAATAAACAAGAAGTGACACGTAAACGCGATTCTTGGCGTTTTGACCGCAATAAAAACACAGACATTCATATTTTAGGTAGCAGAGTTCAATAGTGACGATAAGAACAACTGACGAATACGTACAGGCTGCGTCACACTTTAGGGAAACCTCGAAGCGCGTGGCATCGCGATGCGGCCAGCGCTCCAACCACGCGCCATCCTTCGCTCGCGCATGCGCAGATGATTCGAGAGTGTAGTTTTGAACCGCGTCGTTTGATATAGCACCTCTTGCTTACCGTTTGGCTAGCCAGCGCGCGGATATGGTCACGTGGTCTTCACGTGGACGAAGGGGGCACACTCGATGCTCAGATAAAACTGTTTATTCGGTCGAACTTGTGGCCAGGAAACTGAAGGTCAGATTGCAGCAACACACGGGCACTGATTGCGGCGAACATATATTGTCGGCCGGAGATCAAACTGACAAGCGGCAAAGCGCTGTGGTGTTTATACATGTATCGTTGAATATACCAGCCTAATCACTGGTCTTCGCGCAAGCTCTGGAATAATCTCGAGTGTTTGCGTCGAGCGGGCAATCTTGACAGAACGATCTACAATGATCGTGAGCGTTTTTGGACAATGATGCGGAGCTTGCGCTGAGCATTCTTCAGCCAGGCTTTGTGGGCGCAAACCGAATCAAACAAAAGTGAAAATAAGAAAAGCGCGTGGCAATATCATTGTTAGTGCCGGAACTGGGCCGATAATCTGCACTAAACATTATGCGACGAAGACATCTCACCCCCGTTTCACAAACGCTCCTCGACTCGGATTTCACCCTTCACTTGACAGAGTTGAGCACTGCGCCACTGCTCGGCTGAAAAATGACGCTGCGCTACTCAAGAATCACAGCAGATTATCGCTGATATGCAGTGATTTGCCGTGACTAGAGACAGCGCTCCCATCGACTTTCTCAAGTGAAGGTGAAGCGTTGAGTGAAGGGACGTTCTAGAACACGGGGGTCAGTCTTTATTTGTGAGAATTGGGTGCTACAAGCAGAATTTGACTACATGCACCTTGTTTTCTCTGTCGAAACGCCGGGGTTCTGTGTATGTTCATAAATATTCTTTCACTGTGTGTGCACCGCAGTACGCTGAGACGAAGAAAACACGAAAATTAGCGCCCAGTGTATTCAGTGTATTTGAATAAAAAAAATGGCAGATCCCACGTACAGTGGGAATTTATGATATGCGAAGCCCGAATGAGAAATGTTGATATGTCACTTTAAAATCAATTCAACGTTACGAGGTGGGGGTAAATGATGCGATACATGACTTCCGTGTCATGATTATCATGTATGGATGTGTCGTTTACCTTCGTCATGTATTCACGACCAAATTTAGTATATGTGGAATTAGCGAAATGGCCGCGAGCATGCTATGAGCGTGGTATGTCGTCATGTTCTTACATGACAAGCGTGTCGGGATTATCATGTTTGCACCAGTCATATATTTCATCATCCATTGACGTTACGTAACAAGAAATTTGGTATATGTGGAGCTAGCGAAACGGCCGCATGCGCATTATGAAGGGCCTAATATACTCCAAAGTGACGTGGACGTGCGCGCACGCTGGGCACATCGACGCTACGTTAGCAAAACGCGAGCACTCCATAGTCTGACGCCAGGCGCGACCAGCGTCCGTCGGCACGGCCCGACGGCAACCGGCGCGAAACGCGACATGCTGCATTTCGCACCGATGCGTTACCCAGACAACACTGCGTAGCCCTCTTTTTGTGATTGAGGGACGCCGGACGCGCTGAAAGGCGCATGCGTCAAAGCAACGCAACGCAGCGCGGCGTGCGCCTGCGAGTATATGGCAGGATCGGCGTTTGGCGTGGCAACACCGGCGTGACGCAACGAAATGAACGCCGGCGAGCACGCGCACCGCGTCACGTCGAAATGTATTGGCGTCTTAACTGTGGCATGTAGTCATGTTCTCACATGACACGCATCTTGTGACTATCATGTTTGCACCAGTCACATACCTTCGCCATCCATTGGCGTAACGGAATACCAAATTTGGCATATCGGGATTATCATGTTCGGATGTGTCATTTGCCTATGTCATCCTTTCGCGTCGCGTAATACCAAATTTGCTATAAGTGAAGCTAGCGAAGCGGCCGCGAGTGCATCATGAGTGTAGCATGTAGTTATGTTGTTACAGGACACGCATCTCATGGCTATCATGTTTGCACCAGTCACATACCTTCGTCATCCATTTATGTACTGTAATACCAAATTTGGTATATGTGACGCTAGAGAAACGGCCGCGATCGCATCATGAGCGTGGAATGTAGTCATGTTGTTACATGACACGCACGTCATGATTTTCATGTTAAGGTCTGTCGCTTCTGTTCGCCATGCAATCATGCCATACCATACCAGTTTTGCAACATGCCATGTGAACGAAACCACCGCAAAAGCTGCAGGACCATGAAATGTAAATCATGACATTCATGACGTACATTTTCATGTTATGAATAGTCAAACTTGTTCTTCATATAGTTATGGTTTGCCATACCAAGTTTGGTGTTAAAAGTCGTAGGCGGATAGATAGATAGATAGATAGATAGATAGATAGATAGATAGATAGATAGATAGATAGATAGATAGATAGATAGATAGATAGATACGCTCAATGTCGCCGAAGTTCGCTAAGAAATGTTTCGCATTTAAAACACCAAAAAACCTTTTCATACTTTTTCAGAAATATATCATTATTGTTTCGAAATTGTGTATTTTCAGAACAACGAACACAATACTTAGCCTGCGAACGAGGCTATGGTACGCCAGCAACTGAAAGTGGAAACCCATGTCGCGTTTTAAGCGAGCCAATAATGCAACAGGCGGTGGGCGCTGGCGTTGCCGCAGAACGCATCTTGCATGAAAGCCGAGAAGTGACCCCGTCCAAAGCTTGTTCATCTTGCACAGTGTAGCCGTGGGAACGTCTGCTACATGACGCACGTGGTTCGCAGGAATCATGCTAACGACGCCATCAAAAAGAGCAACAATCTGCCAATATAAAGAGCAGTTCCCACGTTGTGCTTCGGTTGTCTTTTGTGTCTTTCTTCAATGGCAGTCGGAAGCGTAAATTGGAAAGATGGGAGTATACAGCGCGTGCACACCGCCATTTCTCACCTCAGCTGTAGTAATGGTGGGGCTGAGCAGTTTCAGGAGTGACACCTCGAACATCTTGCCGCAGACGGAAGCCTTCTTAAGCAGCACGATCTCTTGCTCGTTCAGCATCTCCATTCGCACAACGGTCAGTGCTGCACCGGTCAAAAAGGTCGTAAAATAAACGCTTGTGTTGTCATCACCACCTACTTCGGTCCTTGTTTACGCACGCTTAAGTGTTCTACGAAATTAGGCGCCAAAAAAAAAACAATTCCCCACCTCCCCGTGGGGAATCATGAGGAAAGGCAAATGCATTTCTTGGGCCATAGAACAGGGCATAGTAATTTTAATGGTGTATATTAATGACGAGACGAGTATTTGTACCGTAACTATGGATTTACGCATTCATCAGCGCCTGTTTGTGTTGTCTTTGTGCCTGATGACCATAATCTCAGTGTCCTAACACAAACGCTACACATACGCTGGCAGCACAAATGCTACAAACGCGTTTCAAACGAATCGCATTGAGGCGGCGGCAAGTCACGTTCAAGTCAAGAAGGTGGGAACTCCGGTTGCTAGGGGCGAAGATAAGCGCGCGCCCGGAGCTGTTGCTATGGGAGAGGGTGGTGGATGGATCCCGACGGACGCCTGACATAGCCCGACTAAGAAATGCATTGGAATTTAAAAATTAGTGCTCTTGATTTCATGTGACGTCGTGCTTGCGTTCGTTTTATACGCAGCGTATACGTATACGCACGCATAAGCTCCATTTATACGCGTGCGCAACGCATTCCGTACCTTGGAGGGAATCCGGAACCTGGACGTCGTCCATGAGACCTTCTCCGACGACGTCGCAGATTGGCTGAAAATTAAAGAAATTAACGTTAACCGTCTTGATAGACGTTTGTATTATTGCTATTTATATACGCAGAAGCGTTTATGTCACGTTATTCAGCGTTAGAAGGCACCCAACTCCTCAGTGCACAAAACTATATCCTATATCGAGCAATAAGCGAAATAAAAAAGCATTGAAGAGTGTTTCATTTGGGAGCGGCTAGGCTTACGAAAAAACATTTACGTAACGAAGGCATGAAGTTTGATGTTTTTAACACACCGATATAAATCTCGCGAGGTGTATGGCAGGGAAAATTATGATTGGTGCAGTTTTTCAAATCGCGCTCTAAATTCAGCTGTGCTCCCGTGACACCTGAGGAAGCGCTCACTGCTCGTTTAACGAATCATCGATGACGTTAACGTTTGCGGTGAGCATGTTTACCCGGCACCAGGAGAATCTGGTTAGGGAGATTCGCAAACTTTGTGTGCGACATGCACGCTACTTTTCACTGCGTTTATTGACTTCCTATATACTTGTTACGGAAGTCAAAATACGTGTAGTCTGCAGCCAGTTTCGAACGTTTCATGCTTATATACACCAGGTGTGGAGGCGAATCGCCGAAGAAGCGCCGTTGGAGAGAGCGATGTAAGCCTCTTTTGCGCGGTGCGGGTGTCATCCTTGTGTTAGCGAAGAATTTTTAGCAATTCTAACTTATCATTTTGATTAAATTTTGGCTCTGAATGTATTTATATTACTTCAGGCCTTGTACGCTTGCCTTGATTTGGTTTTTAACAGTGCTAGTCTTCTTTCAGGGCCTGTATTGAGCAAATGATTGGGAGCATGATCATGCAGCGTGAGATCTACGGGCGACATGCAGGGCCCGCTGTGGCCGGTACATCATTGCTTCATTTTAATTTTTGCATCAACCGTGAGGCTCGTTTTCTTTCGAACTCGTCCAGTTGAGGTTAGATGTGAGTACTTTGCGAAGAACGGTTGGCCCGCCATAAACAAAAATTCTGCGCACACCATTGGTCGTGCTGAAAGAAAATATCCCGAGACCAACTCACGAATCCCTCTCCAGGCCGATGTTCTCGCAGCTCGTGCTCGTCTTCCTTGGCCAGGGTGAACTCTCGCTTAAGGCGCGCCTCGGAAGTCGTCGTCGAGTTCACGGTGTGAATGAGGTTCTTCTGCTTCAAAACCTGGAGGATCTCGACCATAGCGGCTGGGTTGCCCTTGGTGTACTCCTTCAGGAGGCTGCATCGCGTGATCGCATACTCCTATGGTCAATGTCCCAGCAAACTTCGAAACACGCGAGCACGCGAACGGCAATGTTCTTCGCGCGATCCCTTTCACTGTTGCGTGATTACACACCTCGAGACAAAGGAATGTGCATTACACATTCTGAATTAAAAGCTAGCGTCGATTGACATTGACGTGCTAATCTTGACTCAACCCCTACGCGTCTGCCCATCCTCTTGAGGTTGTAATTATGACGAATAATCAGCAAATTGTGATACATTTACAGCACTTTATTCTACGCCTCTAAATGAAAGAAAAGGAGGAAGCCTAAATAGAGTAACATTTTTAGTTAAAGTAATGACTAGAGAGAAAGAAAACATTCATAGTGGTTGGGGTTTAGCAATCTAAAACCACAATATGGTTATGAGAAACGTCGTTGTAGACTACCGAAATTCCGACCACCTGGGGTTCTTTAAGGTGCAAGGGTTACAAACATTTTCGCCTCGATCAAGATGTCACCGCCGCGGCCGAGATTCGTTCCCGCACCCTGCGCGTCCGTAGTCGAAGACCATACCCACTAGACTACCACGGTGGATTGTAATTAAACGTTATTGCCCACTTTCTCTGACCTACAACTACATGTTTATTTTCGCTAAAATGTGAAATGTTCCAAAAAGGCCACAACTCTCGCGGCTACAGGGTGCGCTTAAAAAGTATCATCCTGCCCGGTTCACCACAGGCCTGCAAAACGACGCACCGTAGTATCTGGTTGTGTATGCCCTTGACCTGCAGCCTTTGGAAGCAGAAGTCTGGGATGTACTCCTTGCTCAGTGGCTGTATGTCCACAGTGTGCACAGCCTTGGCCATGATCTTCTGGATCTGCAGTGGCTGCTGGACACGCTCCGAGTGTGGAATGGAGGTCAGCGCCACCACGCATGGGTACTGGCTCGTCAGCTGACCGAACTTGTCCAGCAGCTCCCACGAAAGCGTGTCCATGTAGTTGGCATCGTCGACAGCAAGGATGCACGGAGCCTTGGTGCAGAGCTGCATACAGCAGGCGCATCTATATATACACACGTACACAGTAAATCCCTGGTTACGATCGCGAGTGCTATGAAAGTGGCAGTGACTGCTAAAAGCGTGGAGAAAGAACGCTTTCGGGAAAGGTCGTGCTATAGCTGCTCTTTCTCACCCTTCATTCATGTTCCAACATTCATCATCAGTACGGTGCTTGATAACACGAGAGTAACACGGGCCTGCTCTGTATTTCCTTTGCACTGCCATTTGTAGATGGCGGTTAACAGGGCAACCGAAAGTCGAAGTATATAAAGTAAAAATGGAATTTATAATTGAACTGCCTAAAAGCAGAAAGTCTTGTAACACTTCCTCAACAAGCTAATACCAATCTCAATAGAGGCGAGTGCACTCGTCGATCATCAATAATCCGAACGTTGGCTAACATGGCCTTTTCATGGTTGCGTACGAGTATTCCAGTTTCGAATGAATCGAATAACACTTCATCGAATAATTCTATTAGGCATTCGAATGGCCTAGTATTAGAAGTTTTTAATAATTAGACAGGACGAATATCGAATAGAGACAAATCCAAATGGTGCAACTTGGAGACCGTAGGATGGCTAAAACACGCTAATATCGTTCAATAGGCCCTTCATTAATGATTTCACCGACATTCTGGTTTCAAAGTGAGCACATTTTATTTTAAGGGACGTAATGTCCTTTGTGCACGTCATAGTATAGAAAAGAGGCCAAGAACACCTAGAGGACGTAACTGCTGGCGTTGAAAAACAACCAGTAAACTGAGCTCAGACCTCATCGATAGATAAAAAGAGTCACAGCTTTGCCGCAAAGGCGAAAGCAATGAATGCGATAGCGATGAATTGGAAGGTCACGCGCAAAATGATTAGCAGATCGAGACGTTCTTCTCATTTCTCACGCACAAATAACGCACGAAACGTACTCATAGGTACAGATGAACGCGAATAAGCATCTCAGCTATAACTTCGTTGTGTCTGAAAAGCGTGCTTTTTTCGCAAACGCCGACTGTGCAACGACTGCAGTGATTTTTGCGGGCCCGGTAACTACAACAGAATCGTTCCGATGAAAGCCTTGCGCCAGCCAAGACGTGCTATTTTCTTCCCCACGAGATAAGGGCGTGTGAGTGACCATCCACCCGTCTCCTCTCCACGAGGCAAAGTACGCGAAGGAGATTAAAACGCGCGCCGCCGCATCGAGACCTTGGTCGTGACAATGTGATGACGCGCGCTCATAGCGCCATCTTGCTGGTAACGCTGAAAACACGATAGTTTCCCCCCGAGATACTCGTCATGAGCGGCAAGTGGTAGATATAAATAGCTAGACATTTGAGCGTTGAAGGACGTGCTCCTGTGTGGTTCAGTGTTAACACCTTGCACTCACGTTTTATAGGTTCCACGTTCGATTGGGCACGCCGGAGTCTTTTTCTAGATTTTTTTTGCATTTTGACATATATAGATACGTATACATATACGGTGAGTGACGGCGACATCGACGACGACGTCGACGCCAGTGGAAAATACAGCCGAGAGTGTATCGCAATAAAATACTTGAGCGAGCTCTTGACCCCATGAAAAGATGATCCTTTAAAACAGTGAGAAGCGCACGGAGCGGAATTTAATTTAGGCATTGCTGAAATCTATGTGATACCTTTTCTACCCGCAACTCCAGTGTCAGCAGTAAGTGCATCGTTTAAACTCCTGCAAACACCATAACATCACGGCGAGAAAGACTGAGCCTAAGTCACGCGCAACAGATGGTGTTTATTCACGACGGTTTATGTTTTTCTTTGTAGCACTCGGTTCCCCGCGTTATGTTTTCGAGAACGACTTGTCACTTTTTCAATATTCAACAAAAGCTATCGTATTCAATATTTCATTCGAAGTTCGATATTTTTAACTACTATTCGGCACAATTTGATTCGAGGCAAAATTTAATCAATAGTACACCTCTATACTTTTTCTGCACGTGCAATCTAGAATTCCAACGTTATCTCCCGCGGTAGCTCCTCAATAATGCAGACTTATTTGAACAGCGGGAAAAGAACAACAATCACGACCACCAGGATATTCTGATACGGCTAGATGAGAGCGGTTGGTACACGTCAATCACATGAAAAAACATTAAGAAATGCAACGCCAAATCGGTATACAAAATACCAAATTTCACAGAATAGACCCTTAGTCTATGCTGTAAATGGCTGCCGCGAAAGTATTGTCACGTTTTATTTACGCCGAGTGAAGAATAGATAACGGCATTAAAAACGGAGACAAAAAGGGTCCCTGACGATTTGAAGCAGCCTCGTTCGCAATGTCACGTGAATTAAAATACGTGACGTACCGATTCGGTGATCGCTATCAGGTGATCCTTGGCCTGCGCCACGCTCTTGTTCTGCCAAGAGACGTCCGCCAGGCTGCCAGCCGTCGCAAGCTTCAGTGCGGGCGCGTTCTGCACGATTCAAGATGACAATCCGTTGGCGCGTTTGCTTTATTCTTGGTTTGATTGATTTGTGGGGTTTAACGCCCCAAAACCACCATATGAATATAAGAGACGTCGTAGTGAAGGGCTCCGGAAATTTAGACCACCTGGGGTTGTTTAACGCGCACTCAAATCTGAGCACACCGGCTTACAACATTTTTGCCTCCATCGGAAATGCAGCCGGGATTCGATTCCGCGACATGTGGGTGAGCAGCAGAGTACCTTAGCCACTAGACCACCATGGCGGGTGCTTTATTATAGGTATAATGGTCACTATTGAACACACATTCTAGTGGCCGAGCTCGTGATTCCAGCTAGAAAATTTCGTGATAACTGGACCATCGATGACGTGTACTAACATAGATAACATCAGCAAGGCCCGTAGCCAGTGGGGAAAGGAGGGGGAGTTAGGTGGGGGCTTCAATATTTACTGAAAACGGGTTGTCTTTAGGACTTTCTACATGTGCTCCCTCCTTAAAAGAAAGAATCTTAGATACGCGGCCCTGACCTCAACGCTGTGGTTCTGACGAAGTACACTTTACACATGCTCTCTACAGAGGTGGGAGGAGTTCTAAATGTGACGCATTTCTTTGCATACTGGAAAAACTTTGGCATCTATATATATATATATATATATATATATATATATATATATATATATATATATATATATATATATATATATATATATTATATATATATATATATATATATATCATCTAGCCGCTCACGTCTGGATGCTCTCGTGCTCACGCCCTAACTTGGCGTGAACCAAAATTAGTTTAGAAGGGTAAGATGGCTTGACGAATACGACATGCTGGTCAAGACATAAATAATGTCCCAATCCTGTCGCGTACGTCCTTAAACACTATCCGCTATACAGTGGCTCATAACTGCGGAGCTTATGTGCCACTGGTATGCGGGTATGTTCCACAGGTGGTTGACACTTAGAATCTACCCAGGAAGGACGAGATCACACGAGTAATTTTATCGTGGAAGCATTAAGAAAAAGCTGACATCGACAGCGTTGACCCGATAAGTGCAAAAAACGTGAGAGTCCCTGCTGGAATCGAACCCAGAATGATTCTGCGTGGCAATGCAGTATGCTACCACAGAGCCACGCTCGGTCCCGGAACTCCTTTAAAATACACCCTATTGGCACAATGTGACTTCAAATTACGCGCGCTAGCCGATACTTGTGCCCTCTAGATGGTTTGCGACGCACGAGCCTGCGGGACCCAGCTGCGCGCGAACCATGTTGGGAAAATAGAAGAACGTAGAAGAATAGGCAGAAGTGAATCCTCGAGACAATCTAGACGTGTTATTATTCTCGGGTACAAGTTCGCCCTGCCTACGTTAGCCTATTAAAAGAGTTCATTGAAGAGTGCGTTACAAATCTGGTGGAGGTGCTGGGTATGATGCCAAGCCCCTCTCGAGTGACGGAGCACAGTGCAGAACCACAGCGATTTCGACCCAACGAGCTGACGCCTCTTCATCAGCGCTGCAGTCGACGCCTACGTGGTGAGGGTCCTGAATTTTCACCTTCATCGACTTCCCTTGGAACATCAACGGCTGTGAACGGGTACGCAACCGACATGACAGCTCAGGTCACTCCAGCTAACATTGTAGTAAACCAGCCAATGCTACCAAATCCTTTCCACGGCGAAAGAACGAGGACGCAGAGGACTGGCTTGGACACTTTGAACGCGTCGCAAAGGCTAACGGATACGGGAAGTGCGCAAACTTGGAAGTGTTTACTTCGCACTGGAAGATAGCGCACGAACGTGGTATGAAAACCACGAAGCTACCTTCCGGTCGTGGAATGATTTTCGACGGGAGCTGCTCGCTGCTTTCCCGAACACAGACCGCAAAGAAAGAGCTGAAGCTGCGTTCCAGACAAGAAATCAGCGAAATAACGAAACTGTCGCCATGTATCTGGAAGACATGTCTCGCCTATTCCGCCGAGCGGATTCAAATATGAGCGAAGACAGGAAGCTGTGCCATCTGATGCGAGGCGTGAAGCAAGAACTCTTTGCCGGACTAATTCGAAGCCCGCCGCGCACCGTCGCCGAGTTTCTTTTCGAGGCGACTACAATGGAAAGGACGCTACAACAGCGAGCAAGGTTATACGACCGGGATGCGATCGTCACTTCCTTGGACATGTTGCCACCAGTCTTCGGTAACGGCATGGAAGCACTACGCAAGCTGGTGTGGTCTGTTGTGCGAGAAGAGCTGCAGAAGCAGCGTCTTGACCAGAACGCTCCAATGCTTTCATCTCTGGCCGATGTGATCCGTGAGGAGGTCAGGCAGGTGGTACGCGAGCCTTCGAGCAACGCACAGCCAGGGCTGTCACTACAACAGAAGACGAGAATTACGTATGCTGATGTGCTACTACGAGGACCTCCAGGACGTGCGGACGTCGTGGCGGCTACACCTATGCAGTACCCGATGCCGCCGAGCACCCTGCAGCCAACGCCAGAGAGGAGACTAAGGAAGAGCGATGTCTGGCGCATTCCTGACAGGATACCGCTTTGTTACCACTGTGGGGAGCCTGGTCATCTGTACCGAACGTGCCACTACCGCCAGGCAGGACTACGTGGTTTTCCTGTTAATGCACCTCGACCACGAAATGGTGAACGTCCCTTCGAAATTGAAGAATACCTGTCAGGTCGTCCAACCTCAAGTGGCTTCCAACGACACCAACCCCGTGCGACGACAACGGGGAGGTATAGATCGCCTAGCCGCTGACCTTCAGCAAGCTCCCCAAGGTCTCGTTCCACAAGCCCGCGTCGGGAAAACTATAGAGACAGAGACCTGTGGAGGCAAGGCCGCTGTCGACGCTAATGCAGAAAAACCTCCATTGCTGACTCTGAACGACGACCGATTCAGAAACCGGTGCTTCGATAGTGACGTTGCTTCCAATTTACGTGTGATCGTTGACGGCTACGAAGTCATCGGACTGGTAGATACCGGCGCAGATTATTCAGTGGTGAGTATCGGACTTTCTAAAATAATGAAGAAAGTGCTAACTCCATGGAAGAGACCACAAGTTCACACAGCAGGAAGGCACCTCATCGACCCTACTAGAATATGCACAGCAAGAATCGGAATACGGGGTTTCACGTACGTCGCCAGTTTTATTGTGCTGCCGGAATGCTCAAGAGACTTGATTACCGGCATGGATTTCTTACAAGCTAATGGCGCTGTAATTAACTTGCGAGAATATTCCGTCTCATTCTCGACTAGGCACACGATTGCTGCCTTTGAAACGGAAGAAAACGTATATGACCTTTGTATTGCAGATGATGGTGTCATGGTGCCGCCAAGACCGAGCATATCTGCCGCAGTAACCAACAAAGCATTCAGTGAATTCGAAGGATTTGCTGACAACACTGCTTTACTACTCCAAAAAGGGATCTGCATGGCACGAGGCCTTGTTAAGTTACGTGACGGATGTGCAAATGTTCTACTCACAAACTTTCGAAATGAGGTGCAGCACGTTGCGAAAGGAACCGTCATCGCCAGTCTGAATGATTTCGTCCAGGTTACGGAGCTGCGCGCTTTTGAAACCAATGAGTCTGATTTCGAAGACGTCAAGTCTGTCCTTGCAGCCATCGACATCGAGCCAGGCCTACTACCAAGCCAAAAAGAGCAAATAGAGGGCCTTTTAAGGGAATTCGCCGAATGTTTCTCGTTGTCATCTAAGGTTCGGCGCACTCCTATTGCCAAACATCGCATGATTGTCGACGAGTCAGTGAGGCCAATACACCAGCATCCCTACCGAGTGTCACCAAGAGAAAAAGAAGCTATTGGTAATCAGGTTAAAGAAATGCTCAAAGACGATGTAATCCAGCCTTCATCAAGGCCATGGGCGTAACCTGTTGTTCTTGAGAAGAAAAAAGAGCAAACCTTACGTTTCTGCGTTGATTATCGGAAGCTGAAGGCCGTCACCAAACGGGATGTTTATCCTCTGCCAAGAATTGATGACACTCTGGATAGGCTGCGAAATGCCAGGTATTTTTCCTCATTTGATCTTAAAAGTGGGTATTGGCAGGTAGAAGTTGACGAAAGAGATCGCGAAAAGACAGCGTTTGTGACACCGGATGGTTTATACGAGTTCAAGGTACTCCCTTTTTGCCTTTGTTCAGCACCCACCACATTCCAACGGATGATGGACACAGTGCTTTGTGGACTTAAGTAGCAGTCATGCCTGGTTTATCTCGACGATGATGTAGTTTTCTCTGCCACCTTCGAGCAACATTTGGAAAGGCTCCGGGCCGTGCTCACTGCGATAAAATCAGCGGACTTGACGATAAAACCACAGAAATGTCATTTCGGCTTCCGTGAGCTCCTTTTTCTCGCCCATGTCATCAGTGCAGAAGGCGTCCGCCCAGACCCTGCAAAAACTGAGGCCGTAGCAAGATTTCCGAAGCCAACAGACAAAAAGGCTGTTAGGCGAACTTTAGGTCTCTGCGCCTATTATCGACAGTTCGTTAAAAAAATTTCACGAATTGCTGAACCACTGACGCGGCTGACAAAAGAGGAAATGCCTTTCGTATGGCTTGCCAAACAAGAGGATGCCTTCAATGAACTACGAAAGTGCCTTCAAAGCCATCCTGTTCTGGCGCATTTTGACGAGGAAGCTGACACCGATATCCACACGGATGCAAGCAATTTAGGTCTTGGGGCCGTGCTCATCCAATGGCAAAACGGACAAGAACGAGTCATTGCGTATGCCAGTCGCACTCTTTCGAAAGCTGAGGTGAACTACTCAGCGACCGAGAAAGAATGTCTTGCCGTTGTATGGGCTATGAGCAAGTTTCGACCATATTTATATGGTAGGCCTTTTCGAGCTATAAGCGACCATCATTCGCTATGCTGGCTGGCTAATCTCAAGGACCTATGTGAACGGCTTGCACCATGGAGCTTGCGATTACAGTAGTATGATATCAAGCTTGTGTACAAGTCAGGTCTCAAGCACAGTGATGCGGACTGCTTGCACGTACTCTGATTCAACCTGCTGCTTCTGCTTCCACCGAGGATGGTGAAGATTTTATTTTCTTGGAAGCTGTGACACCATCAGAGATGGCACATCAGTAGCGATCCGACCCTGAGATACTCCTCTTGATCAAGTACCTACAAGGACAGTCTGTCGATGTTCCACGACCTTTTGTCCGCGGCTTGTCAGCGTTCGTCCTAAGAAACAACATCCTGTATAAAAGGAACTTTGACAACAATAGAGCGACATTTCTGCTTGTCGTCCCTTCACCTCTGCGACCAGAGATTTTAGAGGCTTGCCACGACGATCCACCAGCTGGACACTTAGGAGTAAGCAGAACGTTAGCACGCATCCGCACTAAATACTACTGGCCGAAGTTGCTTAGCTTTGTACGACACTATGTCAGAACCTGCCGGGACTGCCAAAGACGTAAAACGCCACCGCTGAAACCAGCAGGTCTCCTTCAACCAATAGAACCACCAGAAGCCCCATTCACACAAGTGGGAATGGACTTACTGGGCCCATTTCCAACGTCGTCATCGGGAAAACGGTGGATAATAGTTGCGACTGACTATTTAACCAGATATGCCGATACAGTGACTCTTGTTAAAGGATCAGCCGTTGAAGTAGCCGAATTCTTCGTCTCCAACATCGTACTGCGGCACGGAGCTCCAAAAGCGTTGATCATGGACCGAGGGACTGCATTTACGGCCGACCTGATGAAATGTACTATGAAATTGACGCCCACCAGTCATATGAAAACGACGGCATATTATCCTCAAGTAAATGGTCTTACGGAATGACTGAACAGAACGCTGGCTGATATGTTGTCAATGTACGTTGATATAGAGCACCGTACTTGGGATAAAATATTGCCCTATGCAACATTCGCCTATAACACTGCGATGCAAGAGACATTACGGATGACGCCATTCCAACTTGTTTTTGGCCGGACGGCAACGACACCTTTAGATGCAATGTTACATATTGACGAGACGCCCGAGAATTACTATGACGTTCACGACTACATACAAAGAGCAGAAGAAGCCAGACAGCTGGCACGATATTGCATTCTCCAACAGCAGAAAAACGACACGCATCGATACAATCTGCGAAGAAGAGACGTCCAGTACGCACCAGGAGACAGAGTATGGGTGTGGATTCCTGTACGAATACGTGACCTGTCAGAAAAACTGCTTCGCCGTATTTTGGTCCGTACAGAGTGCTCCGCCGCGTCGGCTCGCTCAACTACGAAGTTATGCCAGCGGGACAGGATATTTCATCCCGACGGTGGCATCGCACGGAAACTGTGCATGTCGTCAGGATGAAACCATATCACGACAGGCAATGAAACGCCGAAGATACAACGTTCTTTGACGTTAACGACATCACCGACGAGGGTTTGTGAATGACTGCCATGCAAGCACTTCGACACAAGCATTGGGACGATGCACTCTGGAAAGGGGGGCAATGACACAGTGTGACTTCAAATTACGCGCGCTAGCCGATACTTGTGCCCTCTAGATGGTTTGCGACGCACGAGCCTGCGGGACCCAGCTGCGCGCGAACCATGTTGGAAAAATAGAAGAACGTAGAAGAAGAGGCAGAAGTGAATCCTCGAGACAATCTAGCTGTGTTGTTATTTTCGGGCACAAGTTCGCCCTGCCTACGTTAGCCTATTAAAAGAGTTCATTGAAGAGTGCGTTCACTATTGTTCGTGAAACGTGAATTCTGTTTGCGGTGTTAGCTATATAGTTTTATAAACATTACATATGGGCTCCTATATATAGCCATCACGTCTGTTTAGCGATAATTGTAGTTAGGTATACCATCCGCTTAATTTATGTAGCAGTGTCCCGGGCTATCATCCTCGCGAGCACCAGTGCTACATATTAGCTTATCGCTTCTGGTGCTGCTATTACTCATGTTCTTGTCAACGTTGTGCAATCGCAAACAATTCATTGTGTAAACATTTGCAGCTGTTCAACATATGTCTGTGCGTGGAACATTTGCACATTTATTTAGCGTCATTTTATAACGCGTTGCTCAATAAAATATTCACAACACGTTCACCTTCGATGCTTCGCACAACGTCGATTCCCAAAGTACGTGGGATCTGCCTTTTTTTTTGCTTTATTTTGCTTTTATGAACGTCACGAACAAGAAAACAAGTCACAACTTGTATAGTCGTTAATTCTTTGCGTAGCAAAATTGTTTTCTTCCCCTCCATTCTCTCTCCATTTTTTTCCCTGCTGTCTTGTATACTTATCTGATGACCATGGAAAGTGACATCAGAAATTCGCGCACACACGACAGGCAAGAAAGATGACGCAGCTGGAGACATCAGAATGTATATGCATTAGAACAGAGGGATAAGAAAAGATCTTCCCCATGTACAATGGACGATCGACAGCTTCTCGCTGGTTTTACTGCGTACACGGCAAGTTATTCGTTTTCGCTTTTTTGGAATATAGAACAATGTGAATCATAAACGGCATGTCAGGCGTTGTTTGGTATTTTAAACACATCTACACGTGAAATACTACACTGAAATACTTATTACGGCAATACCAACACAAAAAGTAATGATCAGTATAGATTAGAGTTACATGGACTTTGACTTACCCACAACGCCATAAATATTTTTTTTTTCAAGTTGGAAAGCACTCAAGACGCCATTATTCGCCATTCCGCGGAGAAGCGAGGTACCCGCTATGCAGTTGCAAGACAATATCTGAGCTTTGTTGTGCGGTGGCTCACGACTATACCGGCTGAGCCCTATGTAGAGGGTTCGAAGCATTTAACAATGTACTCGTAATGAAATTCGTATTGTGTGACACCTGGTTATTTTACTCTCTGACTTCGCTGCGTTACACATGGTAACGGTGTATCCACGAAGTAACGCCTGTAGAGGGCCTTGTTTGCGAAGACGTATTGAGCACCAGCATGACTCTGTAGAGAGGACCCACGTTCGAACCCCGCTCTATAGTGATTTTTTTTTTTCGAGCGGTAACGGACACCGGTGGCGGTGACAGACAACTATACGGTGCCACAGAAAGGCCGTTGTCGAGATCTTACAACAGTCTTTCGCTGTAATTGACGGTGGCTTCCATCTTCGAGACATCTTGGGAAGTTTTTTTTTTGTTCGTTTTGTTGCCTACACTGGCCATATATACCTTCAGCCGAATGATGCCCTTGTTGATGACGAGCGGCGTGGACGAGTCGGTGCCGAGTATGTCATCCAAGATGGTGTTGTTCTCTTGGTGCGGGTTCAGGCCATAGCTGTCCAGGAGCCGGCTGAGCAAGAAGCACACGGCGCTGAACGGGTTCCGCATGGTCCTGACGCCCGCGTGACACGTGCCCGACCTGCGCACACAGTACGGGGTCACGATGCGCAGCCTCTCGTGGTCTTACAGACCACATTACACGTGTGACTCTGTGCTTGAAAGCACTGAACACGTCGTTCTATAATGCTTCGCGGTATTGTTATTTTCTCCAATATTGCACTTCACCCACTGCTGCGCTTTGGCATTCGACTGCAACGCTAGGGCGTTTCATTTAATGAACGCTGCCAAACGGAGAGTAACAGTATTACTGGGTACCTCTCCCATACAACGAATACAACTTCGAATGAATTAGTCTCATCAAATGAACGCGCAGTGATAATAACGGCGCGAAAAGCGAGATCGATACAATCAGCTGACAACAAACAGAAGAAAGTGGCGATTTCGTTTTAGCCTAGAGCACAAGGTACCGTGCTATTCTTTTTAATTTATGTTGTCTCGTTATTACGGCATACAACGCAGGCATAACGCATATGAAATAATGGCGGCTCACTTGAAGCCCTTCTTGACAGCGACGGCGACTGTGGAGCAGAGCAGGTGGCTCTTGCCGCATCCGGTCTCGCCCCGCAGAAGCAGCATGTGCCTGGGCATGCGCCGTTTAGTCAGGAAGTCCATGAGGAAGCTTTCGATCTCCTCCCTTTCGTGCGTCATGCCCATCAGGGGGTCTTTGAAGTCGGCGATTTCGTCCATCACTTCCCTGAGGACACAACGTAAGTTCATATATAAAGGCGATGTTCAGAGATCCAGAGAGAGAAATTCACAGATGGTAGGCTAATAGAGCAGCGTTTGTCGTTGAACAACAAAAAAATAGCATCTGTAACAACAAACAACCACAACAACGACAAGTGCTTGTGCCAAATGCCGTGTTTGCAAGTGCTCGCTAATGTTGCCGACACTCCGTATGCTATTGAAACAAGATGTATCCCATCGTAGCGCTGACATTCATAGGAGCTCACGTGGCACACAAGCCTATAGAAGGTTTTGATAGCGCCTGCACCCAGACCTCTTCGACTTCTATCACCGGAATCGAATAGACTTTGGCGCTTCAACTTCTTCGCATGTGGGGGGGGGGGAGGGAAATTTCTCTTCAAAGGCAGCTTCAAAATACCACGTGACAAACCAGCTCGGGTGCCGGTGCGCACGATGATTGTAGTGCTCCCTAACGTTCCGCGTCTGACCGATCATAGCATTTTCCCGATTGTGCTGTTTCGACAGGGCCGCAGTGATGGTGGTGGCTTTGCAATGGACACGCTTTGCTATCGGCCACAAAAGCGATAACCACTGTGACTGCTTATAGCTGTCATGAACCGGTGCGTGGGAAGTGTATCGTTCGTGCGCGGAACGTTAGGGAGCACCAGAATAGACACTTTTAGTTGGGCGTACGTAACGAACCCACGTGCGCAGCACTGCCACGCGTGTGCAGTACGCATGTGCGCATGTGAAGTACGTAACGTATCGATATGCGCACGTACGCCCGAAGCAAAATGATGCGTACGTAACGCAACGCTTACTGCGTTACGTTCTCGCGAGACCTCGGAAGAAACCAGAACGAGAGTATTTGGTGGCAGCAGTGGCGTTCGACAAAGAAAGCCACAGAGGACTTGATGCAATGCATGTGTATTTCACAATGAAAGGCGATGTTTTCATGTCAGGCAAGGTAAATTCAAGCGGCGCGTTCCGGCATCCCGAAGATTCAGAAGAAATTTCCTGGCGTCTCACGAAAATCTTCAAGAATCGTCTTCGATAGGTTGTGCGCGGAACACGTTTCTGCCAGGCCTCTCGGCGAATGAACCCGTAAACAAAATGACACCTTGGTACAAACTTCTATTGATGGTGCAACACAACACGCCTTGAACGTTGTGCGAGCTTTCACTCCTTAAGTGTGCTGGTAGTACATCGTAAGGTTTGAACACCTGGAACGCGACCACTTGCTGCGGGGTACGCTAAGCTTCATCCGCAGCAGCGCTGGATAGAACGCTGAGGTCGATTCAGTGCGACCAAGCCCGATCAGGACACCGTTCTTACATAGTGCACCCAAGTTCGAAACAGCAAAGGTGAACGTGTGCATTCGGTGCACCCAGGAACGATGCTGAAAATCTACGCAGCGAACGTCATGGTCTGACTTGTACGCTAGTGGCCCTCACCCTGGCAGTCGTGTTTCGTGCAGATCACAGAGGCCATGTTATTACTGGGACCACGGTAGTGGGACCTAGTATGCTTCTAACGTCGGTGACGCTGACAAGCATTACAAACCCTTGCATCTCGCATACCATCTATCTAGATGAGTGAAACGCATCAAGGTACATTAAACTAAGCGTGTAGTAACACGCTTCACTTGCCGCGTACGCAACCTAATTTTCACAGCGTGCGCAACTTCTCCATACTGCCAACTAAAAGTACCTAATGACGGCACGCGTAGGCGCGTCAGTGGGTTTGTCACGTGGTATGTTTTTGTATTTCGTGGGCATATGTAGTTAACGGAATTGATTGATTGATGCGTGGGGTTTAATGGCACAAAACCACTATATGATTACGAGAGACGCCGCAGTGAAGGGCTCTGGAAATTTCGACCACATGGGAGTTCTTTAACACGTACCCAAGTCTGAGAACACGGGCCTACAGCAGTAGTTAACCGAAAAACAGTACTAACTGACAAATATAAAGTTCGAAACTGTCTAATCGGACAATTTGCAAACCGATCCACAGCTTTCTCATTGAAACTTTTATCCGTCTTCATTCCTTCAAAATGTAGTTAATTGAACAGATCTAAACAAACAATGCTTTAGAACTCAGAAAATAGTCTGAATCACTCCAAACAACGGTAAGCAGCATGCATTTAGTCGCATCGCAATCGCGCGTGTCGGCATATTTTCAAACTCTGGCCAAAGATAGCTGGGGCACCCTGTATAATGCCTTATTTGCTTCGCATCTCCACTATTGCCACCTCGTTTGGTGAAACAGTACTAAACAATCATCAGATTATCTAGCCACACTGCAAGAGCAAGCCTTACTGGCTATTGCTGATGTACCTTACAATCTGTTTTTGCAATTCAAAATTATCCGAGTTTACCACTTTCATGAGTATGATGGAGCTTAAGAGATCTCTTAAACATGAAACAACCAAGGGTAGTACTCATGAGAGAAACATCGCGAACTCGTCAATCAACCAATCATCTCGCTTATATCCACAAACCAAATTTTGGCAGTTCCGTGACCATGGAAAAACTACGGTTTTCAAGCACTCTCCTACTGTCTTCCTTGAACACTATAAAATATAAAGTATGCGATGACAACATACGTCATCTTTCTAAAAAGACGTGTCAACTAATTTTACGAATACCAACCTATTTTCTGTGTTCTTTAAAAATACATGTTTCTGGCTGAATTTTTCATGGCTTTGCTTTGTGAATTCCTATTTCATTAATGTGACGAGTGAGAATTATTGTTAGTGTTGCTGCTGATGTCAATGTTTCATCGCTTTGCTTTGTGTATTCCTATTTTTTTAATGTGACGAGTGAGAATTAGTGTTGCTGCTGCTGCAATGTTCAGGTAGGTGGGACCAGTCAAGCTGCCTATATGCAGCTGTTATCTTACCATCCTCGCTGTTTAAACATGTTTTGAACATGTGGCGATAAAGTTCACCACACTTCATTATATATACGAGATTGATTGAAATGAACTGTGTAGTAATGTACAAAGCGTCTGAGTGTTATCTTGATTCGGGACAGAAGAGACTCACTCCTCAGTGCTGATCTGGACCTGGAAGACGCGGCCCATGTGTTCGATGCCCTTGAGCTTGCGCCACTCGAGTTCCTTGAAGTTGTTGGGCCCCATAAGGAGCACGGAACGCTGGTAGGTGTCTTCGTCGCACACCATCAGGTGATCGGAGTACTTGCTCATCAACCGAGCAGCCAGGTTCACCTTGCGCCCGATCACTGCATTGGCAGTAACAACGCGCATAAAGGTACTCGAGACTATCCTCTGGTACAAGGTGTGGGCTTTTCCGGTAAGCGCATTCTGAGTCTAATAAGGCCCGTCAAAATAAGAACAATTAGTTTTGGTGGTGACCCTAATCCTTTAAATTCCCGTTCTTGTGGTCTTGTGTATTTCTTGAGCTTCACGCTTTAGGTGCACCTTTGAGGCCACGTAGCAAAAAACGAGTGGTTAAAATCAACTCCGCCGGGCACCGCAACGATACCAGCTGCTCATATATAATGAAGTGAACTGAATGGCGGTAATTATTTGATAGTCAATCGGCCCTTAACACTTCGACCTCACTGTCGATTTCAGTGTTCTAGGAGAGATGTTATCGCACGCCGCGGTGGTCTAGTGACTGAAGCCCTTGGCTGCTGACCCGCAGGTCACGGGATCGATTCCCGGCTGCGGCAGTCGCATTTCTGATGGTTGCGAAAGTGCTTGAGTGTGTGTTCTTACATTAGGTGCACGCTAAAGAGCCACAGGTGGTCCACAATTATGGAGCCCTCGTCTACGACATCTCTCGTAATCGTATGGCGGTATTAGGGCGTTTAACCCCAACAAATATTATAAAAGACATTTTATCAAATATTCTTTCAGGGAACCCGGCAATAGAAAAAGTCATCGAACGGCTTCATTGGTGGATTTTTAGTGACGAATTGAGAGCTGTTAAAATAGTTAGGATCCGAGAAGTGCGAGTGAGGCGGCAAGACATTCTAAGCGCTTTCCTTTTTTTTTTTCAAACGAGTAAGAGCACTGAAACCTACCAGGTGATGGGGGAAAGGAATTTGTGATGACAAGGAGGAAGGAAGCGAAGTTCATTCATCGTATTGAGCCCCTTTTTTAACCCAATATCGTTAAATAGCTCATTTCGTTAACATTCCGGTGTCGGCGTTGGTAGCTGTCAGCGAAAAGTCGGCGTTGGCCGTGACTAAAATCTTGAAAAAGATGCAAATAAAACAATTAAGAATTCTCCGGTTACAGCGAGAATCGAGCTATAGGGCTTTCTGCGTGGCAAGAAGGAACTCTACCAGAAAGTCACACATGACACGGCTCGAAAATTCTTCGAAAAAAATGTTTGAGCGCCCCCCCCCCCTCCTCGACTTTTTATTAAAACCTTCAAAAGTCTACCCATAGGCATAATAATTTTCGATTCAAGATTACACCAGCAAATTTGCTTCGTGTATAAAGTAAGTAATCATCGGTGGTAAGGTCCACGAATCCAGCGATGTAAGTCGGGTGGCCAGTCTTTTCACGATGAGCGGGACATTTTTTCTTTGCTTCGACGAAAGGCCTCCTGGGTGGGATGATGCGCTCTCCGAGCGATGAAAATGTGCCGGCTCGTTCGATCTCTTCTTAAGCCGCGCTCATCAGCCCCGCTCGCACTCGTTTATCACGCAGCGGGTAAAATATATGATGTATGGGCGCATGCTGCCTTATAGCAACGGCAGACATTGGTCTAGAGTGTCCATGTAATTGCTATCGCAATAAAGGAAGAATCTAGGCCGAACACTAGCTACACTTTTCTTTGTAGCCTTGCGTCACTATATGCAAGATGTGTTTTTTTAAATCAGAAACATTGCAAATTATTGCGAGCACATTATACGGATTGTGCCTGCAGGAAAAGGCCTAGCGCAAACACATACGCAATTGACACACGTGAATGTAACCAATGCCTTTCCCTCTCACCCGTGTATTCCTGGCGAAGCGGGTGGCCGATGATCCCACAGAATGTCATGCCGGAGGTAATACCCGCTGTCACCTTGCTGCATCGCCAGAAACATTTGTGCTCTTTAACATATATGTGGCTAAAATCACGTTACCTGTATCCCAACCTCCGAGATAAATGCATCTTACAATATCGGAGGCCACACTGCAAGAGTTATGATCGAGACACCTACTCACATGTTCATGGCGCTGATCTCGTGGACGAGCTTGTTGCAGCACATTAGTGCATTGCACGTCTCGTTCTTGCCCTTGTATCCTGGCAGGCCGAAGACGGCCAAGAAGGAACAACCCTGCGCAAGAGGTTGCGGTAATTGATTATTCAACTAAATATGCATAAAACCTCTTTAGTGTGCTAGTGGAAAGCAGCAGGAATTCAACGGTTTCTCTAACGTTGCATAAACCTTCAAATATTGACTATGTGTTCAGCCGAAGGACAACAATATACATAAATTTAAAATCTCCCGGTTTTGAGAGGACGAGCGTAAATGCTTACTTTATCAAATGTTATGACCTTGTTGAGAACACCTGTTGGAGAAATACGCCGCACACAATAACATATGAGTGGTACGCTTCAACACGTTAGAGCTGACAAACTATCAGTGAGATAAGTGCTCGTTCTTAGCGCTAGCAAGTGTGAACGAAAGAAAAAGAAAGGAAGCTTTCACGTAGCATCGGGAAGGGTGGTTCTAACCATATCGTTTTCTTTATTTATGAACCTCGGAAGTGCACATACTCCCCCGCACATGCATGCACAAATGCACACCTGCATAAAGATTGGTTAAACTCCTGTAATGAAAGAAATCTCTCGCAACTCACCCGAAAGGAAGGAAACATCATTATATTGAAAATGAACGAATGAATTCGCGAATAAACGTCACGGCTCCATGTCATCATTGACATGTCTTTTGTTGTTTTACTCGAAACTCGCGCCAAAGGTAACTTTCACGTCATCTGCAGGAAACGAGCCACATGACAGTCATCAAATTTCTTCCCCTTACCACTTGCAGCCTCTTGAGCCCATGTCAAGCTTCCACCTGATGCCCATGTTCAACCAACTTCCCATGCACACATCGCTTCCAGTTAGAGCCCAGCTTTAGAAAGGCCTCTCGGTACAAGCTGACATTGGTCAGAAACTATTGTCGACGTGGGTGACGTCATCATACACATTCACAAAATCTCGCTGAAAGGGGCTGAGGAAAACACTGTCTACAAGAGAACCGTTTATTTTGAATGGTCGCTGACGAGGTCGAAAAAATCTGGTTGCACGAAGATTGACAGCGAGCCTAAACTTACCGTCTGTCTCTTTGAGAGCGGCGCTGATGATTCGGTAGAGCTGAGACAGCGTTGCCAGGTCGATGTCGATGAATTCGGGCATACAAATGAACACGATCGTCACGTGCCTCATCTCGGAGAGGAAAATCAGTTCCTCCTGGGTCTTGATCTGGTGGGGGGGAAGAACACAGGAAACGCGAGTTAATGGCTGATAAGCTTAGTAGCTGGTATGAAAGAAACGCTTTTTGTCCATGAGAACGAAATACGCCGCTCAAATATATCCTGTTTGTAGCTGTGCTTTCTCTTAAACGAGCAAAACAAAATGAAAATTGCAGCCATGCCTAACAACACCTTAGTGCTACCGTGCAGGCATAAGCATAGGCAGGATGCGGCCTCGTGAAGGGGATGGAGGTGTCTGTTTTAGATAGACAGATCAACGTATTAACGTTATTCCAGTAAAAACAAAGAAGAGAGGTGCAAGTTCAAGGGCTCCTTTTCTTTGTTAGGCGCAAAACCGATGATGATTATAAGGAAAGTACCGGGGATGCTATTAAAAGTAATTTTATTGTTAATGCCAAGAAAGAAAAGTAGACTAAAAATTAACTTACCACCGTATAATCAGTATGGACGCAAGCATAAGAGCAGTGGGAACAAAAAAACATATACTAGCTTCGCAACCACTTGACGAAGCCCATGCATGCATGAAGTATACTTTATTTGAAGTTGCTGTAGCATTCTCAGAGAACCATTTGGTTGCGCACATTGCTGTCGCGTGCCCGAGTGAGAGAGTCTGCTGCAAGCCGGGCGTTGCGCGCGACATGACACTCACATTGACGACCACGGGCGAGATGAACCGCTTGAGCAGAGGGGCGTCTTCGAAGTTGAGCGCGTACAGGGCAGGCCTCACTCCTGCGAAGGCTGCATTCCAACGAACGCGGTTTCGAAAACCAATTAGTTTCGTACCGCATCTATCCGTCTCTTCCGTCGCGCGGCCCTTGATGCAAATCAGCCTTACCCGACGTGAATGAAACCTTTTCTTCTTCAGTGACACTAGGGTCAAAGCACAGGACCTGTAGAAAATAGCCGTTTGCTATGTGAGATTTTTTTAATGCCGCCTTGAAACGTTCGTAATTAAAACGGACTGATAGTAAACATCATTTACCGACAGTTTCAACACCAGGTTATGGTAGGAGATACGGCAGGTGCTGCCAGCACACCCTTTCTGACGCCGGCAAAATAACTTCTAAGGTGGCATCCGTAGATGGAGAATACACAGTATTGAATTCTCTTATTATACATGGGGTCAACATTTACTGCTAAGGTCAAGGCAAAAGTTTCAGTCGCGCGTTCGATGTGCCAGAAGTCGCGACGCTTCACATGGGCACAAGACTTTACAAAATCGCGGGCCGACATTTGTTAATAACGTGGTACCGCGTTGCAGCTGGTAAAAACACCACGTGCATTGAAGAGATTTGATAAGCCCAGATTAATTTGCTCCCAAGCGGCGTCTCTATATACCTTGGTGTTTGTCGGCCGAGGCTGCGTTAATCACTCAGCTATTTCATCGATTAACAGTTGTTGTAGTTAAGCCATTAAGCAAGCATATACGGTAAGCTTTGCGACAACAACGTCGCGAAAGCAGGAACGCAGTTCAAAGCAGCTGGTTATACAGGGCTAAATAATTATGAGGGAATGAACTGCAACAGGGAATTTCATCTGAACCCAAAGAAAAGAAATAAAGAAAAAAAAATTTTCCTGGTTAACGCTATGGGGCCGCTACTAGTCTCATATAATCTCATTCTTAAAGGAAAACATTTTCTGTGCGCAAGACGTTTGAAGAAACATTAAGATAGGATGGTTTATATAAACATTTTGCGCACGCACACACGCAAAAAAAGTTTTATTTAAGAATGCAACAACGACCAGCCCAAGCAGCTCTTGCACCAATCTCAGTTTTTCTCGTAACCATGACTCGTTTGCTCGCATGCGAATTTTCACAGCACTAAAGAACAAACAATCCAAAAAACGGGAAAACAACAGTCACACTGAATAATGGTCTCTATACTAATGGTTTCCTATATCTCTGAATATGGATAATGACGTGAATAAAAAAATATCACACCACCGAACAAGCCCAATTCTGCGTCGATACTATACAGTTGAATGCAGTCTAGGCAGTCCAGCTTTCAAGTATCCCAATGATTTCTTCATTTATAATATATTAAAGACACACTGAATTCAAATAATGTTGCAAGACGGGCATGTTGGTACGGCATATTTGAATAACACCACTCTATGTAACGGGACGCTAGAATACGACAGAGAATGCGCCGTGTGTGCCTTCATGTTCTTGTGTCTCATTACATGGAACTACCATTGTTACTAAAATCAACGATGAACCAGTTGGTATTGAAAAATTGTATCTAAGAATCATCAGTTTCACCTTCATAGGCCTAACAAACGAAAAAAATGAAGGTGAGTGTTTGTTTATGAATTTCGTGCCGAAATCTCCTCATGCGGATTTATAGCGTATATTTCTCGTGTTCTCGCGTCATTGGATCGAAATCTTCTGAAATCTGAAACCTGTTCGGTTAGGTATATACCCCCCTCAAAGCACAATGTACTTTATTGACTAAGAACTATATACGTACCACCTAATAGACACCGGTGAAAGCTATGACGTCGTGGTGTTTGGTGTGGTAACTTCAAGTTTGCGTCACCACCTGCATGTTTTTTTTTTTTCGCGCGTTTTCTTGCTTTATCAAGCACCTTCTCGCGGCAAGCGCAGTGACCTTGGAATTGTGAGATTAATGAGAGTTATTTCCCTCTGCTACGGTTCCCATCTGTTTTATTCATTCCAACGCTTCAAGTGAAAATTGGTTAACACTGTCCTTCGCATAACGTGATCTACTCTTGTCCGCTATAAGTCAGTTGTAGAATGTCCGCTACCCACGTCCCAACAGTACGCCTATCATTTTTCGTTCCATGACACGTTTCGTGGTTAATAATTTATCTAGTTTCTTGTCCATGCTTTCACTCATATATTAGGAGTGGCGGTATATAATTACAGTTTTTCGTTGGAGAGAACGGCAAATTACGCGTTTTTGTTTTTAGCGCGTACACTGGCTGTAGTGATTTGCCTGTGTACGCATGCATCTCATTTAACTTTATTTTAAAGGATCGTTAAGACGTGTATAGTAGATCGATTCCCGCTTACTGAGCACAAAAAAAAAATACCAGATTAAAGGTTGTGGTGGAGCTCGAGGCTATTTGAAAATTATATCAAAGAAGGTGCTTTGGTCATCAGGAGAAATTTTCCATGAACTTTTCAGTCTAGTGTTACTGTCCCGACCTGTGCATGACAAGAGATACCGGTTCGGGAAGTTTTTGCTCATCACCGATGCAAGCTATTAATAGTAGGCAGTGTCTAGGCGTTGCCACAGTGACACAATTACCTTGACCATGTCCTCCGGCAGCGCGGTATAAGTGTAGCGCGTGTGAACGCCCTTTTGCTCTAAGAAGTTCCAAGCCTCGGTGGTGAGTATGATATCGCCAGCCGTGCAAAGCATCTCGGCGTTGCGCACGTACTCAACCACGGTGCCGCTCGCGGAGTAGTGGACGTTGTCGAAATCGTCGTTGAAGAAGTGGTATTCGAGCATCCCAGTCGCGATGCCTGCGGAAAGAAGAGCACTGCAGTCGTCAGCTGCCTCTGATAACGATTGCTGGACTTCTGACGTTTCAGAGCAAAGACATTATTATGAGAAACGCCGTAATGAAGGCCTCCCGAGGCGTAGAACACCTGCTGCGGTTCTTTACCGTGCTTTTAAGCCTGTGCACATGGGCTCCATCATTTCACCTCCATCGAAACGTGGCCGCCTCGCCAGAATTCGAATCCGCGACATTCGCATCTGTCTATCTATCTATCTATCTATCTATCTATCTATCTATCTATCTATCTATCTATCTATCTATCTATCTATCTATCTATCTATCTATCTATCTATCTATCTATCTATCTATCTATCTATCTATCTATCTATCTATCTATCTATCTATCTATCTATCTATCTATCTATCTATCTATCTATCTATCTAATCTATCTATCTATCTATCTATCTATCTATCTATCTATCTATCTATCTATCTATCTATCTATCTATCTATCTATCTCTATCTATCTATCTATCTATCTATCTATCTATCTATCTATCTATCTTATCTATCTATCTATCTATCTATCTATCTATCTATCTATCTATCTATCTATCTATCTATCTATCTATCTATCTATCTATCTATCTATCTATCTATCTATCTATCTATGCAGTGAATATGTAACATTGGTGTTACGACACATTAACGCGAGCAAGGCTTTACCTCGTTTATTTCGTTACCCTTCCGTGAGGCATATACGACGTGAGCGCACCGCGCCGCGAAATTCGTTTAGTGGCCCATAGAGAGAGAGAGAGAGAGTGTAAATCACCAGTTTCAAGGGTGTCACACGCGCGGAGCTGGACACGCGAACGTCTGCAATTGAAATTACGTTTTCTCGAGAGGCGCCGGTAGCTGCAGCCACGTGAGATTCCATTTTACTTGTCTTGAACGATAGATGGCGCTGCCAATGGCGCTGCCGATAGATGGCGCTGCCAAGAAACACATCTGAGGGACATGGAATAACAACCTCCGAACAATCCGGACTACGCGTGGGAATATTGTAATAGAAGAGAAGGCAGCAGAAAGGGGGGTGGTATTGGGGCATTCATTCATAAAAGTACAGACTGGCAAAGGGTCAAGCAGGAGTGAAGGAACATTTATGGCTAAAAGGGAAAGTGGCAGGTCAAATGACACTCCTTGGTTTCGTGTACTTGTGGACGGGAGCAAAGGCCAGAGAGGAAAACCAGGCAATGGTAGAGTGTATATCAAAGGACATTCAGGAGTTAGGAAGAGAGTGCGAGATAATTATACTAGGAGACATGAATGCGCACATAGAAGATATAGATGGGTATACCGACCCGACAGGCAAAATGATCATGGATATGTGTGAAAGACTTGATTTGATCATTTGCAACAGTACCGAGAAGTGTGAAGGGCAAACAGCATGGGAGGTAGGAAGGCTTCAGTCGACGATAGATTATGCACTGATGTCACATAGGATGTATGATAAGCTCAGGGGAATGCACATAGATGAAGGTGGCTCCAGAAGTCTGGGTAGCGATCACAAACTTATCAAGCTAAGTTTTGGAAGAGCAGTGAAAGTGGGAAGGAGACAAGATGAGCAACTACAGGAAAATTTTTATCCAGAAAGGCAAATTGAAATAGCCACTAAACAAATTGAGAAAGTAATCACGGAGGATAATAAGACAGTGTGGACATACACGAATCTAATTAGACTCTTTGAGCTAGAGTCGCTAAAGCGCGTGACAAGTCACCCCGGAAAAGAAGACACAAACCCAAAAGTTGGTGGGATGAGGAAGTTAAGAGAGCCATAGCAAAACGTCAGGAAGCCTCTAGGGAACACAGACATGCTAAGCAGCGGTGTGAACCGACAGATGATGTTGAAAAAAAATGGGCAACCTTTCTAAGCTGTAGAAGGGATGCATCCCTTCTGATCAATGAAAAGATTGGAAGGAAGGGAGCTCAGTGGCTGGCAGAAGTACATAAAAAAGATAGAAAGGCAGCTGCGAAATTTTGGAACCATCTAAACTCCCTAAGAAATGAGACGAGCCTAGAGCAGAGTTTTATAACTACAGCCAGAGGTGCTAGGCTAAAAGGGGACGAAGCTATTGAATATATAAGAACAAGGGTGACAGAAAAAGTTGAACAAAAAAGTACTTTATGCACCACAATAGACAAGGACGAATCAAGTGGTGCAATGGCTCCATTTCCACAACAAGAGTGGGAAAGGGCTGAGAAAAGGGTTCCTAGTAGTACATCAACAGGCCCAGATGGCATTCCAATTAGGCTGATAAAGACATTAGGTCCGAAGTCTAAGCAGGCTTTGAGAGAGGCAGTGAGCACAATAATAATCGATGGTGAAGTTCCCGATAGATGGAAACTTAGCAGGATGAGCATGATCTATAAAGGAAAGGGGGACAAAGCTGACATAAACAACTACCGTCCTATAACAGTGACATCAGTGGTCTACAGGCTGGCGATGCAGATTATAAAGGAAAGACTGCAGGCGTGGATAGAGGATGAGGGGGTGCTGGGGGAACTGCAGAATGGGTTTCGGAAACACAGGAGTTTGGAAGACAATCTGTTCTCACTGACGCAGTGCATCGAAATAGCAGAAAAAGAACACAGGCCCCTGTGGCGAGCATTTTTGGATATCAAGGGAGCGTACGATAGCGTGGTTCAAGAGGAATTGTGGGGAATACTGGACACACTAGGCGTGGAACATGTAGTCACTAATCTTTTAAAGGGTATCTATAAAGGTAACAAGGTAGTTATAAAGTGGAAAAAACAGGTATCCAAGCCTGCAGAGGTAAAACGGGGGCTTAGGCAGGGGTGCCCCCTGTCACCCTTATTATTCATGATGTACCTACAAGGATTAGAGGCAAAATTAGAGGGAAGTGGACTGGGCTTCAACCTCTCTTTAGTCAAACAAGGAAAACGTATTGACCAGGCACTACCAGCATTAATGTACGCAGATGATATAGTGCTAATGGCCAACAACAAGGAAGATTTGCAGAGATTGATGGACCTCTGCGGTAATGAGGGAGATAGTTTAGATTTGAGATTCAGTAAGAAAAAGTCAGCAGTAATCATTTTTATAGATAATGAAGGTAGTGAGCTTAGAATACAGGAGGTCACGCTAGAGATAACAGATAAATACAAATATATGGGCGTATGAATAAGCAATGAGACCGAGTCCCTAATGGAACACGAAATATACGTGACGACTAAAGGTAACAGGAATGCATCAGTGATGAAAAATAGGGCACTGTAGAATTACAATAGGTATGATGTTGTGAGAGGAATATGGAAAGGGGTCATGGTTCCTGGGCTGACATTCGGCAATGCGGTCTTGTGCATGAGATCGGAAGTTCAAGCAAGATTAGAAATTAAGCAACGTGGAATAGGTAGGCTTGCTTTAGGAGCTCACGGGAATACACCAAATCAGGGAGTACAAGGTGATATGGGATGGACATCATTTGAGGGCAGGGAAGCTAGCAGCAAGATAAAATTTGAGAAGCGATTGAGAGAAATGGGGGAAAAGCGTTGGGCTAGGAAGGTTTTCAGCTACTTGTACATGACGAATGTCGATACAAAATGGAGGAAGCGAACCAGGAAGTTGACTGGTAAATACTTAGAAAACAGCAGGTGGCCAAACCAAAAAGAACTATCGGTTAAGAAGAAAGTGAAGGAAACGGAGACTGACATGTGGAAAATGGGCATGATTAAGAATTCCGCGCTAGAGATCTATCGAACATTTAAGCAGGAAATTGCCAAGGAAAGGATCTATGATAATACTCGGGGTAGTTCTCTACTGTTTGAGGCTAGGACGGGAGTACTGCGAACCAAGACATATCGGGCCAAATATGAAGGGGTAGACACAGTATGCAGTGCGTGTGGAGAGGAAGAAGAAACTGCCGAACACTTGATAATGTTCTGTAAAGGGCTTCACCCTTTAGTTCAGGATGATGGCGCAGAGTTTTTCAAAGCACTGGGGTTTAGGGACCGGGAAGGCAAAATAAACTTTAAGCGGGTAGACCTAACTAGAAGGAGGTTATCTGATTGGTGGCTAAAGTCAAGGCACGAGTGAAAATTAAGCTCTTCACTGCAAAGTAAAATCCTCAAACTCACTTTTTAAACAAAAAAATAAATCTAGTTTTTGGTTAATTAGGTATTACGGCTTGGTGGCGCTAGCCACCGCCCGATCTAAAGGGTACTGCCATATCCATCCATCCAGCCAGCCAGCCAACAGACATGTGCAGTTGCTGTGATCTGGTTGATCATGCCTAGCAAGTGTTCTGATCACTGTCTAAAAATGTTCAGGCGCCGACAATGCGCGGGTCGGAGCGGACACAGTATGTTCGGATACTCCCTGGCACACACTGCTGCGAGCTGTTCGATGGCGCGGCGGTTAACGAACCCAGCGAAGCGGTGCTGGTGACTTGAGAATTACTCCACTTATCTAGCGTTTTTATTCGTGGTGGATCGAGACAGTAACACTCAAAGCACGAAGAAACGGTCATTTCAGAATAAAATGAGAGGGGAAACATGTTTTAGGGATTCACTTAGATCAAAATGCCTCGTGCAGGGTGTGAATATCGTGAACACGCATCGATCGGGCTGAACTCGAATTCCATACCACTCGCACGCACTAGCAGCCAAATATATTAGAGGCGTTCAACCATTCAAAGAGAAATAATTTGAAACAGCCAGCGTCTGATTGCCTAAAAAGTCTCTCACTTCTACTTGTATCTATGTACAGCTCTCCTCAACCAAGTATTTGCGCTTGCATGTCTTGAATAAATGCCCACACCTCGTACTCAAGGCCGCCATACTTAATAGTAATTAACAAGTTTGGGAAGCAAATCACCGATCTTGACACGCAGGGTGACGCCGATGCAGGTGGGCCACTCGCCGTAATTCTTCTGAATGTTCAGGCTACAGTCGACCACCGTCTGGATGGTGTCGGCCAGCGTGCTCTTGTCATCCGCCTTCCAGATGCAGAATATGGCGTCGCCTGCATTGAGACGAGGACGAAACAGAGAACAGGAAATTGAGCGCCCTATAATAGACAACGAGTGGGTGCCGCGCAGAACTGACGCGCTCTATATTTGCACTTCGCACCTAGGAAGTCATAAACGCTGTTTCGCGTTGGGACACAGGTTGACTATAGTGCGTGGGCGTGCAACAAAAGTTTTAAACTCAGCTGAACCATTCTATTACACAAGGTCCCATAATGAATTACATCGTACTAAAAATCGTCGAACTACTGTTCTAAACACAAATGATTCTATACAGGGGCCACACTTATCCTTTGGCTCTTACCGGCAAATTTGAAGATGTCTCCACCAGCAGAAAATATGTCTGCATAAAACCAAATCAACGATCTTGTTAATATGAAGCACTGCCCGAGAGGTTGTCTTTGCTTTAGTTCGTCGTGTTCTGCACTGCATGCACAGATAAAATCCAACCCATTCCACAGCATAACTTGCGCGAGTCTTAGCACTCTGTCGTACTCACGCTGAATGATGTGCCCGAAAAAGTGGTTGAGAGTCCTGGTCAGGGCTTCGATGCCGAGAGCACCAGTCAATGAGTACGTCTCGGTGAGTGCAGTGAAGCCTGCAGGCATTTGTTGGTAATACCGAAGGGAACCGAGTTGGAAGTCGCTATGACAGAGGTCTGAACACACAACGATTGAGGAAGTGATTAGGTATAAAAAATGTGGAGGCGACTCCAATCCACAGTTTATGTCTTGTATACTGACACTCGCACATCGGCGTTCGTGTGCGCTGGTGTATGGTTGTTAACCCTTCGAGGAATCTGCCGAAATGGATCCCAAAGGGTGCTTCGAAAGAAGCGCGTTTCTGAAATCTGCTGCGCCAGGTGCTGTTGCGATCCCAGCAGGCCAACAAGCAAAGCGCCCGTTCGCTCAATAAAGTCACCTATTTAATTTTCATTATTCTTCCTGACCGTTAATTGTCTATTACGTTAAGTGATCTTATGTTCCGATATTTTATGTGTTAGATTCAACTCTTAACTTTAACCATACTAATTGATTTCTTACCAGTAGAGTTTTGAAATCACATTTATAAATATTCGGAACACTGGAAGTGTGCAGACAACTAGACGTACTCTAAAGAAAAACAAGGTTCCGTCAACTGAAGTAAGCCAGCGCCATCTGAAAACTCTGCAGTCAGTGGAGTGCAACATGCACAAGTCTGAACAAAAGGCCGTACAGCTATATCTGAGTCGCCACACTGACTCTATAAATGGGTCTGAGGCCCAGCGACAAGATTGTCACCACGACTAGAGGGTAGCCTATCGTTAAATGGCAGCAGTTCGGCAGTGTTTTTCAGACAGTACCAAATAGTGCTGTCTGAAAGGGCGCTATTAATGGTCTTTACAAAAATACGTCTGATTATTTATTTGGCTGATGCACCAGTGGCCCACAGGCAAAACATTGGCAGAATTGACTGCCGTTTTTAACGAACGTCATTACTTTCCCCGCGTAATTTCCCACCAACATTACGAACGAATCTGAAATGTAAACGAAATCCTGTTCCTCCTGCACCGAGGTATTGGCTGCCGATTTCAGTTTTCGCGCCGCCCACTCTCATTTAGTGTGCGACACATAAGTGACGTCCATATTTTTGGTGACGTAAAGACCGGCTCGACTCACCCGAGATATCCGCAAAGAGGACGACGGTGAGGTTGGACTTGGCAAAGGGCAGCTTGGAGAGTTCGCGGTCGTGCACCACTTCGAGGCAAATGTCGGGCAGAAAGGTGCCGTTCAACAGCGTGCCGCTCACCGTCTCCGAAACGACCGGCATCAGATTGAGCAGGCATCGCGAGGCTGTCTTGTGGTCGCACGGCACTGTTTGCTCGGCTGCGCATGCGCAAATCAGGACGCTGTGAGCACTTCGAGACGAAAGTAATTTTGTTAGCACTTAGTTGTCACGTACACGGCTCTTTGAAGAAACACGCGGACTCGCTGAAACGAGGCGCGCATGGGTAAAAAAGGGGAAACCTGCATGGACAGTGGCTCACATTCGCTTTACTCTATTTATCGAATGGTGGTTAACCAGCGCTAACTATAAGCGTCATTGTCACAGAAAAGGTTCCGCCACCACAATTATGCCGAATCATGTAACGACAGGACACGTTCTCTCGACTATTTCACACGCGCACAAAAAGATGGCGCGATCGGATCAAAATGTCGAGCACTTTATTTGCTTCATTTTAATATATACCATTATATTACAGACATACTCCAAACCCCACATATAAAAACAGGCCTGAAGTATTCATAAAAAAATGTCCACTATATATATACTTTTATGGACGTTTTTTTCAGTCACTAAGAAAATACGAAATGACGCAGCCATGCAGGTACTTTTTGATTCTTATTTATCTGAATCACGAACGAAAATTCTTTATGTTACAGTAGCGTAATACAAATAGGTATGTCAACAAGTTCCACATTGTCTTTAAGCTATGGGAAATTGTCGAGCGACCAACGCTACGACAATGGTATCTATGTCATCAGTGCAGGACAGAGCTCCACTGCTAGAGCGAAGAGCCAAATTCCCTGATCAAAGATGCCTCCCTCCTGATACGTTTGTTCTAGCGACATTCACCGTCTGATGCTTTCTTAGCACCTCATATTGAAGTAGTAAAATCACTGTACATGCTATCATTAGGACAAAAGAGTTACGCATTTAGTGTTACGAACGCCGCTAACAACCATGCATCGCAGAGAAGCTGACGCTCGGGCCAATTTTCGGTATTTCTCGAGACCGCTGCCAGGCGCCGCAGCTAAATGCCTGGACACTAGTCGACAGTCAAGTTACGCTAATCTTAGACAGGCCAAACATGTCAATTCGGTGGCACGGGAAAGTCGTGTCACCGGCAAAAACGAAGTTATACTTCGTCGCATAGCTGCGGTTGCTAGCCACACCTAAGCGCCACTCTGCTACCTAGAAGTTACTAACTCTAGCAGATAGCGCTTGCAATTGCCAATGACAAGACTTTGTCCATCATTCAAGGACGGCCGATTCCAGCGGTAACGCTGAGCCGAGCGTCCTTTCCAGCACTCAAAGAAGCGCTATAAAAGCTAGAACGTCGGATGAGACAATCACAGTAGAGTGCGAAGCATGCTTACGTTCTTCCTTCTTCTCGTCTTTCTGGAGCAGATTCTTCATGTTGCTCGCTGAAAAACATGCAAAAAAGCGAACACTTACCAAGTTGCGTAAAAGGTATCTCCATAATATTCAAGAGTAAAAAAAATGGTTCGAATCGATAATGGCTGCATGGCGACATGTGAACTGCGTGCTGTCCGAGCCATAGACGAAGAGCTCAGAATACGTAATGGTTCGCCACCAAATACCACCCCACGAGAGCAACAAGCTTCTGGCGCATCTACGGGTATAACCTCAGCTCGGTATAGTACTGCATAGAGCCTGGAAAAACATCTCAAAGGCGTACGCCCAGACAAGGCAAACGGGAGCAAATAACTGGCCAACTGACCTAATTGACGTAACTGGCAAACAAAAGGCAACTGCTGTGGGGCAGCCGGGAGAAATATAAGAGTTCGTGTGCGAACCTTTCAGGTGTGGCTCAGCGAAGACCACGAAGTCAGATCCTAGGCGACGCAGTACGTGAGCAGCTCTGACTCCACGCTCGAGCTCGGGGTCGGGCAGTCTAGTGCACCGGCTGGCAGAGCTCGCACATCTCGCGCATCTCGTGCAGTGCCCGGTACTCACGCGCACGCGGCACACACAAAATGAAGGGCTCATGGCAAGCCAGAAGCCCCTCTACAGTTACTGTACAGTTAAATGCTCAAGTCCATATGCTGAGGTAGATGTTTTGGCTAATGACCATCCTGGAGGATTTGCCAATAATGGGGTAACTAGTTATAAAATATTTAATATGTAGAAAAGAGAATAACTTGTCTTCCTGTTTAATAAGAATATTTTTGGTCAGAGTTACTATTTCGCAATAAGAAGGAGAAAGGGAACTGATTTGATTCTTAGCCAACAATAATCAAGTTCAGAATACAAAACAAGCTATAATGGCACCTGTGTTGGTTGAATATGAAAACTTAGAACCATGCTTGTACAGTGTAAGTCTCGATGAGTTTAGTATAAAACATTGAATGGCCTCGCGTACTTTCTCATCGCTAGGCTGAAAGGTCTCTTTTATGTTACTTTTTTTTCTAACATTAGATAAAAACACCACAAACGCCACTAATATTTTCATTTCGCTACAAATTGTCTTTATAGTATTTCCCCCCGCAAATTCTACTGCTGTATGATTAGTGACTGTGGTCGGTTGTGCAATTATTCTAGGCAGCAAACAGCAAGCAAGCAAACAAACAAAGAACGAACAAACAAACGAAGGGTCTGTTCACCTAGGCATACACAGCATACAGCTTTATCTAGGCATACACAGCATACAGCCTTATCTACCGTCTATTTCTTCCTTTTCGTCATTGCGTACCTAATTCGGTGTTTCAATTTGTTTGATGCAACCAGAACAAAGTATTTTAAAAGAAAGTGGTTAAGCACAACTAAATGAAAACAACGACTTATTATTTGCCGCCCTGCGGGGCTCGTTAGACTACTTTTAATTAACTGAGCTCAGTTATGCAAAGAATATATTATTCGCTAGAGGGTCTAGTGTATTTCATCACGTTCAACAAGTTATTCTAAAACAACTGCTCTTAATGCTTGTATAAAAACGTGCAGGAGTGATCAAAACATTTTCAGGCCGCTCTGTCATAGGCTTACACGGAAAAGTGGCATGGAAACTTATGACGACCTGCCATCTTCTTCCTACGTCTTGCCGCGCGTGCTGCGTGAAGATGTCACAGAACGAGCGCTAAAAATGGGCGCGCCACCAAATTCTTGCGATAACGGGCGGGAGAAAGGCCGCGAGGTCAAAAAAAAAGAAAACAAACATCCAAGGCTCCCCGGGCGGGCGCTCTCCCCGCGGAAGCGTGGCTTCGCCGACGAACCTCCTCACCCCACAATGGCGGCCCAGCAAGCGCTCGATTTTTCTAGAAGGAAAGGGGCGTGGTCATACCGAGTTGAGTCATCGGTCGGGGACGGCCCTCGTACACTCTCGCACCTCTCTCCAGCCTTCACTGCGTATCGCGCCGACGAAATGATGAGAACTTTCTGGAAGGTCGCGCGGAAGGTATTTAACCGAGCAGCGGAGATGAGAGATCAGGAGAAGACGGAAGTTGCGCCAGAGTGCGAAGGGATCCCGCCGTGTAGTCGGCGAAGGTTTGTCCGTAGGAACGAAGCAGGAGATGAAGAGGATTTCCACCTGTGGGTGAAGGCCCGAGCTACAAGCAAGAGAGTGTGAGTGTGTTTACCGCTATCGAGCGAAGACGCGTGGCGAAAGCTGCGTGTGTGAAGCCGACGTGTTCGGGCGAAGAAGTTTGAAGCTTGGAGAGTGGCCAATTGAAGACGTGAGGTTTCCTGGAAGAGAAACTTCGGCGATGTTTCCTGGAAGAGAAACTTTGAGGGCAGCGGAACGACAACAACGCTGGGCTTTGAGTGAGTGATTCTCGGAAGAGTATCATCCAGACTTTTGTTCCAAGAACTTTGGACTGAATAGGCTTCCTATCTCTTTAGTCTTTAAGTGTCTTGGTTGTTCAATGCATGCAACTGCATTGTAGTGCGTATTGTTGTCTGTGTCCGTTGTTTTGAGTGTGGCTGATTGTACTGTGTAGTACGTTGTTTGATTGGTGACGTATTGTATGTAACTATTGTGGAGTGTGCATACGTGTGTATTGTTTTTGATCTGTCGTTAATGAGAATATAATTTTGTTTGTTTATCAACTCTCGGCTCTGACTTGTTCTTTGGACCACAGCCGGCGTCCGCTGGCGCGCCAAAAAGGACCACTTCTAAATTGTCCACGCTTTCGTGGTGCGGTTCGGGGGGCCGATACTTCGACCCTTGGAATTAGCCCGGCGATCGCCTCCCTATTTAACGGGACTTGTGTGACAATTAATCTGGCGTCCGCGACACAGGACCCTTTGGTGCACAGTGTGTCCAAAGTAGTGAGAAAGAGCCTCGAGTGGTTGATACTGCTATCGGACCAATTTTGTGTGTTGTTCAGTGTTCTCGTTAACGAGTGCAGGGGAGTGTTCCGATAGACTGATTTAGGCAGATACTTTTTGCACGCGGCAAGGTTTTATTTGCGAGTTACGAGACACAATGGATCTCGAAAAGTTAGTCGCTCTTGGTGAGAAGATGGGTCTTTCTGGCGCCGATATACGGAAGTGGGTCACCCAGAAGGAAAAAGAAGAAAAAGAGAGAGCCAAGGAAGAAAAAGCAGCTGAGTTGGAACGAGAGAGGTTGGCAGCTGAGAGAGCCAAGGAAGAAAAAGCAGCTGAGTTGGAACGAGAGAGGTTGGCAGCTGAAAGGGCGAAGGAAGAAAGAGAGCAACAATTGAAGTTGGAATTGGAGAGAGAAAAGTTGGCAGCTGAAAGGGCGAGAGAAGAAAGAGAGGCAAGGGAGCGACAGCTGAAAGAAGAAAGAGAGCAGCAATTGAAGTTGGAGCTGGAGAGAGAAAGACTGGCAGCTGAGAGGGCGAAAGAAGAAAGAGAGGAAAGGGAACGGCAGCGACAGCACGAGATAGAACTCGAGCGGCTCCGTTTGCAACAGCGAAGTGAAACTCCCGTCCAAGCTAGAGTTGAAAGCAGCGAACGGGAAGATCATGGCTTCCGCTTGAACCCGAGCAAGCTGCTCGTAGCGTTTGATGAAAGGAAGGACGACCTTGACGCGTACCTTCACCGGTTTGAGACGATTGCGAGGAGTCAGAATTGGCCGGAACATCAATGGGCAACTGCTTTAAGTACCTGCTTGAGTGGTGAAGCGCTCAGTGTGTACGGAAGGCTGACGCCGACCGATGCAGCCAACTACGCAAAGGTGAAAGCTGCTTTGCTGAAGCGATTTAGATTTACTGTAGAAGGATTCCGGGACAGATTTCGGACAGGAAAGCCAGCTGAAGGTGAGACGGCTACGCAGTATGCTGCCGGACTTTGCCATTATTTCGACAGATGGATTGAACTTTCAGGGACAGCGCAGGAGTACGATGAACTTAGAGAGCTCCTAATTAGAGAACAATTTCTTACTAGTTGCCACCCAAGCCTGTCGCTGTACTTGAAAGAGAGGAAGGCGGAGTCACTTGAAGGAATGCTTGAATTGGCTGATCAATTCTTGGAAGCGCAAGGTGGAACTAATTTGGCCAAGGTCAAGAAGGATTGTCCCGATGATTCGAAGAAATTGGCTCCCGAAGAAAAGAAGCGTGCACCAGAGAGCATTCCGCGATGTTTTCTGTGCAACCTAGTGGGTCATCGCGCGAAAAACTGTCGAACGATCTTTACGAGCCCTACGGCAGTAAAATGTTTTAAGTGTGGTCAGACTGGGCACAAAGCAGACGCATGTCGAAACGGAGTGAGTCAAACTCACCAGGTATCCTGTGTGCAAGCGGCACCGAAATCTGATAATAATGCCGTCACCCATGGATTCGTAGAGTTGAAGAATGGGGAGAAAATTCCTATTGTGGGTGCTGTAATGTCAAAACAGCCAACCGGTGTTACAAAAGGAATGCCCACGCTGCCTGGAAAAGTTGCGGGCAAAAATATTACGGTGTTAAGAGATACCGGCAGCTCCACTGTTATCGTGCGGAGAAACTTGGTACGGGAAAGTGAGTTAACCGGCAAAACGAAACCGGTTTCTTAATTGACCGTACAGTTCGGATGCTTCCCGAAGCAGAGATTGAGGTTGAAACCCCATACTTCAGCGGGAAGGTTACGGCTCTATGTATGACGACCCCCCTTTACGACCTTGTCATCGGAAACATCGACGGGGCGCGAGGACCGAATGATCCGGAATGTTTGGGAGAAGACCCTAAGATAGAGTCCGCGCCAACCCAGCAACCGCGAGATACAGTGGAGGAGCATCCCGTGACGGATCTCACTAGAGCCCAAGGTGAAGCCGCGGCGCAAGAGACAGCGAATGAGAAGATGATCGAGTTGAATGAGTTCACGGGGTGCGCAGCTGGACGTACGTCGGCCCGACCCCAACCGACCAAGAGTGTGAAAATGACGGAGTCGGCCAGCCAGGCCCAATGCCGTGACATGAACAAGCTGGTAAATAAACCGACAGGCCCGTTGAACGTTATGAC